GGCATCGCCCAGTGAAAAGTGTGTTGGCCCACGAATACACTTCCCAATGGTGGCGTGCCATATGTCCATTATGGACACCATTATGGCACCCCTAATGTACAAGAAGAATTATCCATTGGTTCATTATTGGGTACATTTTTCAGTTCATAGTTCATGCTTATATTTTCTTTCTACATTTGCTGACTTTAAGAATTGAAGGGGGGAGAAGAACACCTCGACATCTTTGGTTTCGATATTAGATAGCTCTATTCGAGGTCTTGCTCATCCCATGCTATATTCAAGTCGTGCAAAACCATGTTTGATATTTTTGCTATAAAAAATTCCAGATGCTGCCAAACTCATACTATTATTTTACGCCCAAATCTGCTGTTGGATTTGGTTCCAAAATCTATCCCGAAATTGGTGCCTCGTGCCACTGAATTTCTAAATCCATCGGCCTCATTATTATTTAATTATAATCACGTTATAATTTAATAATAACAAAAATCTAACTAAAAAACAAGAAACAATCATCAAGGAATATTTTGAGATTCCAAACACTATGAATATGATTTTCTTGCAACAAACACTGCCAATTTCAAGTACTGTTGACAGAGTTCCAAGAGTTGAGACATGGAAGACTATGATATCAAAAATCAATGTCAATTTCTTTCTGTCACGCTCTTAAACAAACAAAAATCCCACAAGCAAACACTATTTTTGTTTCACTTCAATTGATAGAACAAGTCCCACATTGATTCCACTAGATTGCCATCAATGTGATAAAGAAACAAAAACAATTGACAGAACTAAAAAAAGCCAAATCAAGTCTTACTGCAAACAAAACTATCAGTACTAAATATGACTGAGCATTATAATAAATACGTTGTCCGAGTTTTTCAAGTACTATCTAATCCTTCTTTCTGATCAGACAACGCCATTAAATTATGAATTATATCAATTTCTGTTGCCTTTTTTTTTTGTCTTGCAGAGATACTGATTAATTTCCCAGGTGAATTTTAGAATCTATTACATGAGAGGGCTATTGAGAAGTCCATGCCAAGATGAGCCAATTCCATGTAAATCCCCCATGTTTCCATCCCCACCAACTTGCCATGGAAATCCCCATAATGCCCTGCTGCTATCACCTAATTCTCTTGCATTCTGCATTTCTTGCTTCACTGTTGTGACTGCTGTTGATGCTGTGGTTGAACCCTGATAAGGGATTGATCCCATTTCTTCACTAAAATTCAATTCCCGGCTACCATTTTCGGACTGTCCTATGTTTCCGTTCCCTAATCCATAGTAAAATCCATTTGAGGTGCCATCAAGAAATCCAGGACCTTCAAAAACCTCAGCAGGAGCAAATGGAACACGTGTGTTGACACCTGAATTTCCAAGAATCCCACAATGTCCCATGATGTTAGAACCACCCACCATTGTAAAATCATGGGAATCATCAAACCCAAATTGTCCCTTTTGAAGACTAGCAATTGCAAGACTGAGATCATTGCAAGAATATTGACCATATGATGATAAAGGTGGTGGGAGGGCCGGGCTTGGATTCGTCGTGATTGGATGGTCTTGGTTCCTCTTTGATGACAATGATGATGAAGACGATGACGATGATCTCTTGTTCTTCCTGCACCCTCCACCCACTGGAACATTCCTCAATGTTCCACCTTTAGTCCAGTACCTCCTGCATGATTTACAGAAGTACCTTGGCTGGGAAAGACTGTAATTGTTGTAATAGCAGAACTTGGTGTTTGTAGAGTCACACCTAGGGCATTTCAGGGCTTGCTCAGTAGGCCTTGGTTTCTTTTCTTGCTGTGGTTTTGTGCATACTAACATGCCTTCTAGTGTTTGGGAACCCATTTCCTGAAAGAAAAAAAAATCACATTATTAGCAATTATATGATAATCCATAATAGTACACTGTTGACCTGTTGACGAAGAAACAGAAGTTAAAATCCCGTTAATTATACTGTACAATCCAGTAAGTCCTGCTAATCATTATAGAAATCCAAAACTGGTATGTAAACTGTATCCATGTATAGGTGAAAAAATATCAGTTTTCAGGATGATTCAAGTGTATACAATAGATAGTTAAAAAAAAAAATCAGTTTTTGTGATTTTCAAGTAAAGTACTATCCTAATCTCATAACTTGGATTAAGATTATTTGCAAAAATTGACAATGTTTGGTAGAATAGGATAAAATGTTTCATGTCAATTGTTAGAAAGTGGAGACCTAGATTTGCATTTATTTTTAGGTACTTTAGACTCACATGTATCTTTGCTCCAAATGGGATCATTATGCCACTAACAAGATTGCTTTGGAAATTGGGGAAGGTAAAAGGTAAAATGAAGATTTAACAGAGAGTACTCAAGAGCACAATCAAGATTAGGATTTTTCTTTGGAATCTTTTAGGAATTTTAACTATTTTCTCATGAAATTGGAAGGCCATAAAAATCCTTAAATCATTCCGAAGAACTTCTGTAATTCAAAGAATAAACAAAATTCATAGTAGTTCCGTATCCACTAAGACTGGAAATTCTACAAAAATATAAATGAAACTGCACAAATAGCCGAGACAGAACAACAAAGTGAAGACATGAACAAAAACCCAGAATTTTTTTTCTTGATGATCAACTTTTATATACAGTTTTAGCCAGACCCAGAACCCAAATCATTCCAAAAGTTGAAAGAAAAGAAAAAAAAAATACACCAAAAACACTCTGCAAAGTACAATCATTTTATACTTTAGTACAAATTCAATCCCACCTGGTGATGTTTCTGTGCATTTGAAGAATCCATCCATGCAAAAACTGATCAACCCTGAACTTTAAATTCTCCGGGATTGATTCGATTTACAGTGAGTAGAAATGAAGAATTTTTTGTAAATAAATTCAAGAAACAAAGAGGGTTATGGAGTCATGCAGAATACTTGACAGCTCTCTCTAGCAACCTCAATATACATATATTTATATAGATGTTAGAGAGAACATGTAATGATTACAGTTTCATATGTATTGTATATCTACGAGGCCATGGCACGTCAGGGAAAGCAATCTCAGTACATATGATGACAATTCTGTCGTGGGAAGGCAACCACAAGAGGGCCCACTGATTACTGTGGTCCCTACCTCTGCACAACACGCCGCACTTTTGTCCAATTCATTGGCTAAATAAGCAAAAACGCGGTTGCTTATCAAATTCAAATTAGTATTTATTTTCCTTTAGTTGTTAATTATCTCTTCCTAAGAGAATCTTCAATACACTCTTTAATTTCTTTAATTATGAGATGTTTTTTATTTTAAATAGTCAATATTTAAAATTATATTTCAAGAGACTCTTTAAATTAACATTTTAATTTAGAGAACTCTCTACAATTAAATACATTCAAAGAGTTTCAATTTTCAA